GTTAAGAGTTTCATCAGTGTCTGCTACAGAAGCAGAATATAGACTTAGGATATATGGGAAACATATGAAAAGGAAAATGTCTGTAATCCCTTTGTATCTTTAAAAGAATATTTTAAATAAAATCTGAGATTGTTGCAAGCAACTTATCTGCCAAAAGAAACAAGTAGACAAAATTTAGGAAATATCACTTAGTAACCTCTACCACAACTGGTAGCATAAGTGTCTACAAACCACCTCTGATTCACTGATTCTCTCAGTGCTGGAAAAACCCAGAATAAAATTAAGCTCATAAAGGTATGAAAAGTACTTATAGCTAATCAAAATAGGTTGGTTCTTTTCTTCCTTTCCCAAGCACATTTGTGCTAATGATGCACCAATCAAAGCATATCACCTTGTCCTCTAGGAATGTTCTTTTTTTATTAGTAGTACAGGTTTGCAGTACATGATTAATTAAATTCATTGTAGGGAATTGGCAGATGGAGATGAGCTGGAAATGTTCAGCAGCATGAAGAGTGAGTGTACAACGGCGGGTCATATTGTCAGACACCCTCTTTAGTCTGTAATAGATACCTGAGGTGGTGGCTTATGAGACGAAAGTTGATTCGGGCTCACAATTTCACAGGCCCCAGTGCATGGTCAGTTGGTTTGGTCAGCTCACCAAGCAGAACCACTCCCCTCCCAGCCAGGGACTAACCAGAGGAAGAGAAAGGAACAAGGTCCCACAATCTCCTTCAAGGGCATGCCCTGCTAGGCTCACCTTTTTTTTTTTTTTGTACGTGGGATCGAACTCACGACCTCGCACTTGCCAGGCAGGCATTTAAGCTGCTGAGCTAAACTCCTGGTGCTAGGCTCACCTCTTTTTTTTTTTTTTTAATTAAGGAGAAAAAAGAAAAAAAAAAAACAACAGAAAAAGGGTACAAGCTACACAGAATTTCAGAAAAAATAAACAGTAGGGAATCACTAGTTAATAAATTATATATTGTCATCTTAGAAATAGTTGTTCAAGTTACAAAATTAAAGCATATAGAGTGGACATTCAGACAGACTGAAAACAGTTCTGTTCAATGATGATCCAACAAAAACTCTGTAGTGTGGTTATCTATCTTATACGCTTAAATATTCATGCAGTTATATCCTTTAGAGCACTTTCTTTTCCTCTCTTTTTTACAATGACAATTACACATTTTGGGTTTTATTACTCCCATAGTTCTTATTAGTGTTTTATTGAAGAGAATAAAACCAAACGTGACATAATAGGACAGAGTCAGGCAAATCAAAAGGATGGACATAATACATAATGTAAAAACAAAATACAAGGTGATCAACAATGGTTACCATAATGCCTCTTGCCATCTTAAAAAGAATTGCCTATATCATCAGTTATAATAAAATTGAATAGAACAGTAAAGAACAAGACCAATAAAACCAAAACATTGGAGACATTAGAGGACTTCAAAAGAAGATAATAGTCAACCAGAATGGGCATCATAATGAATCTTATTGTCTTCATAGTTGTTGCCTCTACTTTCAAACTTGGTACTATAAAGCATAACAGAATAGAGGAAAATCAGTCAAAACAAGATGGTGAGAGCAATACAGGGTTTCAAATCAAGTTAATAGGAAATCAATGTGGGTTCCTATAATATATCCTGCTATTTTTTATTTATTTTTCCCTTAATTAAAAGGACAAAAATGAAAAAGTAGATAATAAAAAACAGATTGAGATTAAAAAAAGAGGGCATAACAACAAAACAGCACAGGTCAAAACATAGCCATTTAAGCAAAATAGTGTTTCACCACAAGATAATCTTGACATAAAAGTAGTTACCATAGTGTCTCTTTCCTTAAAATCTTTGGATATAACTTTGTATACTGTAGCATCAAGCATATCAAGACAATGTAAAACTGTTCAAGAGAATGACAGTATTACAGGGTATTTAGAATCAGCTAACAGAAAATGAACAATGGTTTCTGTATAATCTCCTTGTCTATAAAAGTTTTTGTTCATATTATCACATATAATAAAATCCAATAAGATACAACAGGTTAAAACCGATGCAGACAGAAGAACAAAAGCTTGATGGGACTTCAAAACAAGTTGATACTAAATTAGCACTGCCTATTATGATGTCTTGTTTTCTCCTAAATGGCTGTTCCTACCATCCAACCTTCTCTGCCTCATTTCTGTTGAGCTCTTTTCTGTCATTAGTTGTTAGTTTGTCTTCTTCATTTTGCTTTCTGCTCCATTCATTGTGGCCTCTCTGCCACTGTTTCTGGAATCTTGGTAGTTTTCATTTTTAGAATATCCTGCAGTATTCTCTGTAGAGTTGAATTGGTGGTTGCAAATTCCCCTAGTTCCTCATTATCCTGGAAGCACCTTGTTTCTCCATTAATTTCTAGGGGCAGTTGTGCAGGGTATATCAATCTTAGCTGGAGGTTATTGTCTTTCAAAGCTTGAATTATTCCCCCCCCTCCCACTCTTCGTGATTTGATGGTTTGTGCCGAGAAGTCTGCTGTAATTCTGATGGGTGTTCCCTTATAAGTGATCTGTTTCTTGTCTTTTAATATTCCATTCTTATATTGGATTTCTGGAATTTTGATTATCATATGCCTGGGTGTAGTTCTGTTTGGGTTGTAGGTGGCTGGGGTCCTGTATGCCTCATAGATCTGAGTATCTTTACCTTTTCCCATATTAGGGAAGTCTCCTTGATTATTTCTGCGAATAGCCTTTGCAGTTCATTTGTTTGTATCCCTGCTTCTTCCTTTATATTCTTAATTCTTAAGTTATAGATCCTCTTATCATCTTCTAGCCTTTATATTGTTACTGCTTGTTTCCTTATTATTTTTAAGAAGTTTTTCCTTTCATGCTCCCACATTACAAATCTGTCCTCCAGTTCAGATAATCTATCCTTAGTTTCTTTCAAACTGTTATGCCAGCTTTCAATAGAGTTTTTAGTTTCCTGGTAATGTCTTTGAACCTGCTTCACGTATTCTATGTTTTCTCTATTTTCTCCATCAAACAATTCTCCCCTTTTTTCCTGTTCTTCCATTCCACCATCTGTTTTTTCTTGGGTGGTGCTTAGCATTTCTCTAACTATTCTACTTATTTCTTGCTTTATTTCATTAAATACTTCATTTTTGAATTCGTCTAAGAGACTCCGGAGATATCGCTTTATGTCTATTGGTGCCATGTGTGATATTGCTTGTTTTCTGTCTTCATTCTCTTTTGCATTTACCTTTCCTGGATCAGTGTTCTCAGGATCGGGGACTGAGGATCCTTTCTTATTGCTCCCTCTTCCCATACTTTTTGTTCCTTCCATACAAGCGTATATAGGAGGCCCAGTTTTTTTTTTCTTTTTGTCTGTTACAGTTTGTTTGAGTCTGCCAGCTAGGTGTTCCCGCCCACTGCAGAGTACTAGGGAGACATATCCTGGGTAGCCTCTGCTTGCTGGGCCCATCCCTCCAGATTAGCCTAGTGAAGGCTTCACTGCTAGGGTGCACCACCAGGTGCAGGGACCTGGTTTGGGCTAGCCTACTGGATCTTAGTCCGTGGTGTCACCAGGCCAAGCATTCCCCACCAATCTTGCTTGAGAGGGGAATATGCAACTAAAGTCACTGCAGCGCCCTGTTCCGGCTAATTTGCCCGGTCCCAGAATGTCCTCTGTTGAAGCCTCCTAGTCTATGAAAGCGTCCCTGTTTCTCTCACTCACTTCAGGTCGATGCAGGGCTCCCTACCAGTCCCTCTCTCAATGCCATTTGGTTCACCGATTCCCACTCTCAGAGCTTTCGCGTGTCTCTCTCCCTGCCATGCCGATTTGGACACAGCAGCGGCAGCAGGAAATTCAAATCACGGCTTCCAATGGTGCGGGCTCCAGCTTCCATGCTTAGATTTTATCTGTTCCTGTTATAGCATCAGGATTGCATTTGCAGATTGTTTGGCAGATAGAAGTGGTGGTGCTGACCACTGCAGTACAGTGTTTCAATTCTGTTCTTTGAAAGATCATTGAGCATCTGTTCTATGGGGTGCACCCGTGCCCAGTCATGGTAGAGACTACCAACAGGAAGAAAGCCGAACCCTTCAGCAGACTGATAAGGAAAAGGGACGGGAGTACTTATAACCTGAGTGAGGTCACTACAGCAGCCTTCAGGGCTGGACCTTGGAGCCTTCAGCTGTTGGAAGTGCTGGGAAGGTCCATAGCTCCAGGACCCCAAGTTAGACCTCCTTGTTTTCTCCCATGTGATAATGGTGTTTCTTTTTACTGTAGCATTGTTGAAGCATAACTCACATACCATACAATTCACCTGTCTAAAGTGTTCAGTCCTTAGGTTTTTTTGTATATTTACAGGGCTGTACAGTCACCGCCAAGGTCAGTTTTAGAACACATTCAGAAATAAACTATGTATTTAAACCTGTTTTCTCCCAAGATGTCTTAGCTCAAGGCAACCACCAACCTATTTCCACCTCTTAATTTGCTGTTTTGGAGCATTTTACAAATATGCATATGTAATAACTGGGCATGGTGGTATATACCTGTAATCCTGAACTAGGGAGACTAAGGCCCGAGGATCACTATGAATTCAAAGCCATCCTGGGCTACATAGGAGACCCCACCTCAAAAAAAAAAAAAACAAAAACAAAAAAAAACAACAACAACAACAACAAAAAAAAAAAAACGGAAAACAAAAACAAAAAATATGAATATGTAGTCTTATGTGTCTGTCTGGCTTATTTCCCTTAGCATAATGTTTCCAAGGTTCATTCATGTTATAGCATGTTTCGGGGCGTTGTTCCTTTTTAATGCCATAATGGGCTACACCACATTTTATTTATCCACTCATCGGCTGATGGCTGTTTGGCTTGTTTCCATCTTTTGGCTGCTGTGAAAAATGCTGCTGTGAACATTTGTATGCAAATGGACATGTGTCTTTGTTGTCATTTCTTGTGGCATTTGTCTGTGTAATTGCTGGTCAGATGATAACTCTATGTTTATCCTTTTTAGGAACTGCCAGACTGTTTTCCAAAGCGACTGTGCCATTTTACATTCCCACCAGCAGTATATGAGGTCCCAATTGCTCCACGTCCTTGTCAGCGCTTGTTACTATCTGTCTTTTTACTGTAGTCCTCATAGTAGGTGTGAAGTGGTGTATCATTGTTTGGATTTGCACTTCTGTCATGGATTTATATTGTAATAATGTATCTTACTCACCTAGGGCCAAAGTTGCAATCTTATCCTTTCATATCAAAACTATCTTTCATTACTGATTGACTTTCTAAAATAAAACCATAGTTCTGCAAAGACAGATGTCATTAATGCTGTTAGAATTATACTGGAAAAAACATATAAAGTAAAATAATTTGGAATTAAGATTACATACTCACCTGGGAAGCTTATTTTGCATTACGAGTTAATTCATGGTGTCCCGAGGTCTTTATCTGAGCTACTCAGTTACTCTTACATGACACATACTGAATAATGCAAATAGCACTTTAGTTAGACCTACAGTGTGATGTCACCAAGTAAACACTTGGAAATGGAGATGCATGTCTCTTCTAGTTTTATCAGTGGAAATTAGAAGTGGTTCACAGCACAGTGAATGTTTTCTTCCCTGATCTGTCAGTCTGTGTCTCATTGTGGGCCAATAATCTGTCATCTAAAACTACTTAAAGTAGGTTAGGCTTTCTTGAATGTCACGTTGCTTTGATGACATTAAGTTTTGGCTGCAGAAAAAGGGAAAGAACCCTTCTTTGACTTTTGGATGCCTCCACGTCCCTTGTTTCCAATAAATGCACTGCCATTTTTAGCTTCTTGCTTACATTTCTAGGCTGTTTGCTGTAACAGTTATACGTTCCATCCTTTTTATCTTTGCGGTCTCCTAAGCTGATTACTCTGTGTTTCTGTCAAAGAAAATGATATGGGGCGCAAAAGGTGTTGGAGTTTCACCATCTTGATTTTACCAGCTAAAGGAGAGTCCACCAAAGCCATTTAATGAGAAAAGAAAAACTTGAACAGAATTCAAAGAGTGCTTTCTTCAGAGAGGTCTCAGGATCCCTCGGCAAAGTCCCCCACAAAAGAGACCCTACAGTAGACTGATCCCTCTCATAGACGATAGGCAGAGCCTCATCCAGACCTGGTCCTCCCTCAGGGGCACAGTGTGGAGAAAGAGGCCTGAGAGATACAACGGAGAAAGAGAGACAGCAAGAGTGGATATTTCATGCCGTCATAAACGTACCATTGTATTCTCCGCCTTGTTCCTTACCTTCTAATGTAGGTTTGTGTGATTGGTGTGCTAGTTTGCAGCACAGCTTGAATCTTGTCTTCCTTGAAGTAAAGGGAAGCAACAACTTTATATATTTACAGAGCTGGATTTGTTTGTTAAGCTTTAATAAATTTTGTCTTGAGCATTTTGTTAACTAAAATATTATTTTGCATGAAATTTATGCAGCTTGTTACTCATTCATAATTGTTGCCTCTACTGAAAGTCCTAAACTATTGAATATTCCTGATCCATATAACTGCAGAACTGTCAGACATTGTATTTTTGATATATTTAGTGGGAGTTTTTATTTAGATTCTAATTTTTATAAATAACCCTTGAGAAATAATTCTTTAAAATTCATATTTATTGAACATTTACTGTATGCTTGGCAATGTACTAGTAATAATCTTGCATAAGTTGTGTCATTTAATTCTTTCTGTGGCCCTCTGAAATAGGCACTGTTATTATTTCCGTTTTACAAACTGATACTCGATGAAATCTAGTGCTTCCCATATCCAGAGATGGTTCCCTGTGCGGCCCAGCACAGCCTCCCTGCAGACATGGCATGTTCAGTGAACAGTGGGGTTCTTCTCTGTCCTTCATCACCTGCTAGAAAGCAGCAGGAGCGTGTGAGAAACAGAGGATGTGAAAGGAGGTATGGAGGAGAGAAGGCGGCCTGAGAAGCTGAGGATGCAAACTAATGGATTTTGTTGTAGGATGGTGGTTGGTTTCTTCCATCCATTGTCCCCTAGATTATGGACCCAGCATACTCTGCTGCACCAGTCTTCTCATGGATTGGTTTTTTGGTTTTGTTTTATCATGGTAATTTTTGTAGAAGCTTTTAAGATTTCCTTCCCCTCCTTCATACTCGTACACTCAGACATGAGCCAGTAGCTGTAGAGGAGAGGCAAACTCAATGCCAGTTATTCCTGCAAAATGGACTTTCATGGAACAAAAACTGGATCAGAGCTCTGCTTGTGTTTTTCTATTAAGAAATTCTAATCAAAAGGTCTGTGATTTATCCTGATTTTCTTATTTGCATAAAAAATATGCAGAGTATATTTATAAATTCAGGAAGTATAACCCTTCTGTCACAATCACTCAGACACATCTATTAACAGATTGTTTCTCTACTTGCATGCTTTTTTGGTTAAATGTCTGCGTGTAATGTTCAATAACTAATGTGTCCTGTGAAATGCCTGGCCAACCAATAGTACTTTTTCTTTTCCAGCACTGGGCGTTGAACTCAGAGATACTGGATCAGTCAGCAATATCTCCACTCTTTTTTATTTTTGTTCTGAAGCAAGGTCGCACTTAGTTGCCCAGGTGCAACTTAATCTTACAGTCCCCCTACCTCAGCATCCCAAACTGAGATTACAGCATGCAGCACTGCTCAGACACTATTGAGCTCATAAAACAGAATCCCTGTTTCATGAGACCTTTTCTTCCCTGAAAAGGTCATTCTTTAATCTGGTCTGTGAAAGTCTCTGTGAAGAGTCATCTTTGATAGAGACACCCTGGGCAACTCCTTCCATTTTCAGGTAGTGCTAAATGGTTTCCTTTTTTTGGTCATATTTTTTGTTCCTTGTGACCTACTTCCCTAACTAATTTTTCCTTCTGGAATGAAGCACAGTAAGAACTAGAGTAGAAATCCTAACACCTCTTTCTCTCTCTCTCTCTCTTTTTTTTTTTTTGGTGTATTAAGAAAAGATCTTGCCATGTAGTCTGGGCTGGCCTTGAACTCACTTGTAGCAGTCCTCCTGCCTCAGCTTCCCAAGTGCTGTTCAGCTGTGTACCAGCAGATCTGCTAACTTTTATGGATTACTCTAGTATGCAAAGCAGTAGTATGAATATGAATATGTATGCTTGGTAATGTTAACCCATGGTGTGAAAGAATAACCATGCACTCTGAAGTCAGCTAATTACAAAACACCATTGCCTGGATGCTGTGTACTGTTGCAAGCACTTTATATAAGTTACTCATTGATCTTGACCACAGGCCTCTGCAATGTGTGCTGCTAATATCCCCAGTTCCCAGATGAGGAAACAATTAGGGAACTTCCTCAAAGCTGGGGTCCTGAGAGCATGAGAGCCAGCATTTAAAACTATGTGGTTCAGCCAGTCCCTCAGGTTTGGGGACCCACTGCTAAACCTTCCAGTCCTGGTGCTGTACCCAGTTAGCAGGCCAGTGTCACGGATCTACTCATGATCTTCACTGTAGTTTTCTCATTGCTAAAAAGTGAGCAGGTTTTTATCAAAATGAAGTGGAATACTATTAAACATGAGCAGTGATTCTTAATGGTGATTGCTCTTCCAGTTCATTTGTGGGTTTTTGTTTTTAAGTTTAGGCCCCATCGGAACTTGTGATTCATTTAAACGCTCTGTGGTATGTGGTTTGTTGTCACCAATTTGAGCCTTGTGTCAACATTGCTTCAGAATAAGTAGGGTGGTTTTTGAAATTACTTTTCTTGATAACTACAAAACTCAATACAGTGTTGGCTAAACAAGATTGCATTTGGGGTGATTTTAAAGACTGATTACATCCTGTGGCAGTTGTTCCTCTCACAATGAGAACACATGTTCCTGCCCCTTTATTGTTGAAAGCTCTATCTGCTTGTGAACTCAAGACAGCATATCACATGACTAGCTGATACTAGTAAGAAGTAACGTGTTAGTTCCCCCTTTACTTGATAGCTCCTTCGCTTTGAGCCCATGCACCACTGTAAAAGTAAACCTTTAAAATATTTATAGCATCACCTACAAACATTTTGCATTTTTAGATCTGTATGCAATGGAGTTCAAAGAGCTTATAAATATTTTAGTTGATATAGGCTTGTCATCACCAAGTCTGTTTGTCAACTTTCAAAAGCCAGAGAACCGCTAAAGAAAATTAATCACCTCTTTAATGTACTTTTTAATGAGAATTTGGGGCATTTAACATCACTGAGACTAGTTGAAAAATTTTTAACTTAAGGGAAGAGAATGTCACGTCCTTTGAAAATTGCTTCCCTGACCGACCACATGGTTTTGGGTCACTTCTAGGGCAGCATATTTAGCTCTCAGTTGGGAGCAGTGTTTATTGAGAACACTGGGTTGGCACATATGCAGAGAGCTTTGTCCCGCACTCAAGTTTACCACAGGAGTGGGAAGGAGGCAGGTGCCCGTGGGGAAGATCAGCAAGCGTGGTGGTATAGGAAGGCACAAGATGCTTTGAGAGCAGACAGGAAGGTCACCTGATCTACTGTGGAGAGGAGAAGGAGCTGGAGAATGGGCTTCCGTGGGGAGGGAGTCTGAGATGAACCTCGGAGATGGATGGATGCTGATGAGCTGCAGAATGGATGAAAGAACCTTCCAGCTGCTTCATCTTTCCGCTTAACCAGCAGCATCTCAGCTCCAAATAATGTCCTACCTGACCCACTGACTTCTATTCCTAACGTGACTTGACTGCTTTAAAAAAAATCTCTGTATCACTGTGTTTCCCTGGTTTTGTGAAGTATGACTTAAAGAAATAACATATTTGGATCATGCCTTTTGTCCCTGGAATGAACTAGTTGGAGTGACACATTTTCCCTGATTTCCTCCATCACACCTTGAGCAGGGGCTAGGGAGTGGGCTAGACCCTCAGCAGATGTGGAAAGGGGCCTGAGGAGAATGCCTGCCCTGTGGCTGGCATCCAGAGAGGCTGTAAAGGTAATGGAACGCAGCCTCCTAGGGAGTCATCAGATCAGACACTTCCTTGGCCAGGGATGAGAAGAGGCAGAGGACTCCTGGTAGCCACCTCATGTCCCTCACTACCTTAGCGATGTTCAGTAAGTCAGTCAACCTCTCAGTGCTTGGCATTCTCCTCTAAAACTAGGAGTAATGATGGTGCCTCCCTCTAGATCACTACACTGTGGGGTTGGGGTGAAGTATGAGGACTAACTGCACTCACTTGTGGATAGTGCTTGGAATTGTTTGTTAACTGTTAGGGGTCAGAGTTCTACTTCGTTGGATGCAGCCTGAACAAGATGTTGGCTTGTGCAATTACTGAGCCGCAGTTCTCCGCAGGACAGCAATTTACCATACAAGTCAGCATGTTCATTCAGCACATACTCACTACATGTCTGTCCGTTCCAGACCCTATTTTGGAACACCAGGGGTAAATTAGAGAAATCAGTCCGCACAACGACGGGAGTGATCTGGGAGTCAGTGTGGCACATTCTGGGAGTGGCAGTGAGGTTCCCTTGGAGAAAGTGAAGGGAAGGAAAGTAGAAGATGAGATTGGAGAGCTAACAAAAAAGGAAGATGGTGCAAGGTCTCCCGGACCATTCTAAGGACTTTGGCTTTTATTTGGAGGTCACTGTGGGATGAAAACTCAGACAATAACTACCACTGCTCATTGAGCTTTTAAAGTATAGCAGGCACTGTGCTAAGTTCTTGACCTGAGTTCTTGATTTAATCAGACAAAACAAGCAGATTAGAGCACTGATGCAGAGGAAGCTGAGGTGAGAAGGGTTAAGGGGCACGGGGACGGGATTTGAAGTCAGACCTGTGTCATTTCATGGTACCATTCTGTGCTGTAGTGCATCTAGGGATCTGCTTGCCACCAGACTGGGTGGAACAAGAAGATTTAAGATGCCGCTTGCCCCTCTTTGGACCTCTGCTTAGGAACCAGGTAGGGCACTGGCACCTGTGCCTCCCAAGCACTCCAGAGCACAGATATTTTTCCTGTGGGCACTTTCACACTTCCAGCACCCTGTTTCTCAAATGAACACTTTAAATATGCTCAGTCTTCCTGCTTTAAAGATCCTAGTGTTGCTGAAAGCTTTTTAAGGGCAGAGTGGAATCAAAGACCAAAATATTGAAGATTTAGTTTCCTGTTTCTGACCACACTGGACCAGAAAATGAGGCAGCTTGCAGAGTAACTGCCTCCACCCATAAACCTGCAGTTCAGCTTTGACTCAGAAGAGCCTGTGGGAACCGCCAGACTTCTTACTCTGCAAAATGTTGTTCTGAACTAGGTAGACACCCCCAAAGTCATGCTGCTGTTAAAGACCACACTGTGTACAGAACACAAGCTCAGGCTGAAGCTTTGTTGAAAATAAGTTAATTCATTTTGCAGAACCAAATAAGGACCTGCCCAATAATCTCCTCAGTTCATATTCAACTAACTTGACGTTTCTGATGACCATTGAAGGACCTGAATAGTGAGATAGAAGGGAGAGGTATCAGTCTTATAAATTAGCTGTCTTATTTGCACAGTGCAAGGCTGGATGCCAAGAATGCAGGGAAAAGTGACCTCTGTGCCAGTTAGCTGTGTAGGAGAAGCAGGTACACTCTAAGTACTCTTTTGGCCAAGAATTCTCATTCCTATACACACATTTAGCTGTATATACCCAGCAAAAATAGAACAAAATTTCAATAGTGCAGGTGATTCTATCTAGCATTCATTCCCACACTGAGCATGAGATGAGAGAGATCAACCTACTGTTCCCTCAGCTGGCCTCAGCTTCCTTTTCACTCTCACAGTGTAAGATTTCAGTGCATCAAGTGTGATTGTAGTGTTTAAAGATAAATGTTTCATGTAGCATGGCTGTAAGATGCATGCCAGCCACTTCTTGTACTGGCCAGAGAAGTTGCATTTCTCCTAATACCAAAAGCAGTCCCGGCTGTGTTTGACTTTTCTAAGAAACTTTTAGATCAGCTTTGACTTACATGAGATTTTCACCCTATACTTTTGACTTTTAGAGCCTGTTCTCTCTATTAATTATAAATTTAGTGGAGTGACAGATGTACAGGCTTGAACCAAGCCTGGTTGTAAATGGCAGTCTCTGACTGACTTAGATAATGGTCTTCTATCTGTGGCTAATGATTGCCCTCATTTTTGAATAAAATAAAAGTACATGTATTTACTTCATTGGCATTGTTATGATGATTAAATGGATAATAAATAAAGATCTTGGCCAGACGGGTAGTAATAGTTGCCTCCCCACTCCTGGTAGCTATGAGTGTAGACTTTTCTTACAGAAACCGATAAAGGCTTTTAAGTAGAAAAATTATATACTTGGCATGGTTTTAGGAAGAAACACTTTTGTGTCCCTGCAGTGTATGGGAGACCATAAAGAAACCTATAGTGAGGTTACTTAGCAAATGGTTATGATGACTTAGACAAAGGCCTGAGTGAGGAAGGCTGTGAGGCAGAGAGGAGGAACCCAGGCGTGGGTGGTTTAAAAGAACTGACCGTATGGCTGTTAGTGAAGACTATGCTTGGGGACTGTGAGCTAAGAGGGAATTGGAAGAGGCTTTAGAGTGAAAGTTGGCTTTGAGTTTTCTGGCATAGGAAGGTGAATGATGGAGATACTGAATTAACTGGGGCAGAGAATAATAAAAGGCACTGTTTTGCTTCAAACTGAAATTCTATCCCTGGCACCAAGCTAAGAAATGTAACACATTATTTGATTTAGGTGTAGTGGCAGCCCTACAAAATAAGAAGTAGCATTGCCATTTTACTACTGTGGAAACCTGAACTCAGAAGAACCCAGAGTTGTAGAATGCATCAGTGTCTCCCTAGATTTGAACATAGGTTTGTCCAACAGCAAAACCTCCCTTTCACCCCCTTTAAATAAGCCCTCTCCTGGAGGAAAAGAGAGCTGGGGTGGGAGAGGGAAAGGAAGCAGTTCTGGAAATGTTAGCCTTGAGTTGCTTGTGTATTCGGTGTATCTTTTTTATAAAAAAGAGAATATCATAAAAATAATAAAAGAGTTTCAAAACAGCTTACTAGGAGAGTTACAGTAATTAATACATTGTATACTGTTACTTCATCAAAAGTAGTTGGAAAATCATATCTGCTGCTCAGGGGAGGCCTGCAGAGCAATATGAAGATTGAGGCGTTGCTGGATGTGGCACAGGGCAGTGGGTGAGATCATGCAGCAAGGGATATATAGTTTGAAAAGACCCTAAGTAAATGAAGGTTAGAAAGGGATTGCTTGCTTGGTTTGGTTTCAGAGTTTAGAAATACAAATATACCTGTGTGTAGCATACTTTTCTTCTAACCAAAATACAGCACTGTGCTTTGATGTGTACAATGTTGATTGGTGAGGTATTGAGTATTCACTGTGTCTGTTGTCCTTAGAACTGAGATCCAATCTTCCCAGAGTCTATGGTCTAGTGTTGAGCATGAGTAAAGCAGTTACAATAATGGTGATAAGCCATTGTGAGTTTCATAGGGGCTAAGTGTTAATTCGGGCCCTCTTCTTGGGTCCTCCGTAAGACTGCCTCTAAAGTTAGACTAGTTAGCCAGGGAAGTAGGGTCACAGGTCATAATATGAAATACAGTTACATTTTAAAAGAAGTCATTGAGAAATAACTGTTTCTGCCCACTCTCCTGGGACTTCACTACCATATGTATGTATGTATTTGGTCAATTGCTTGGTTGGTTGGTTTGGTTTTTTTGTTTGTTTGTTTTTTTTTTTTTTTTTTTTTTTTTTGTTCTGGGGATCAAACTCATGACCTTACACTCACCAGGCAGGCACTTATATCCCTGAGCTCAATCCCCTGCAGTTGCTTGATTTTTTTAAGACAAGGTCTCACTGTGTATGTAGTTCAGATGAGCCTAAAACTCACTGTGTAGCAATGACAGAGATTCACTGTAATGAAATTTCTTAGATTCTTTTTCTTGAACACTTAATTGCTATAAAATACTTGCATAAAATGTGAAAGTAGAAAACTTCTTTTCCATCAAGCATCAGGGCAAAAAATTCCCAAACCTTCACAGTGAACTGTAAATGCCCCAGTCTCCAATTAAGGGCCTTTCCCATGATATTTAGTCTTTGCTTTCACTTGTTTGTTTTTCTTTTTTGAGTTAAGGTTTCATTATGATCTCAAACTCAGTGATCGTCCTGCCTCAGCCTCCGAAGGTCTAAGATTACAGATTTGTGCAACCATGCCTGCCTGGTCTTCATTTTGAAAAATTGTCAACCATACTGGTTAAATGTACAGGACTCAAACTATCCAGGTTTGAATTCTTGTTCCACCAGTCATCATATGACTCTGGGCAAAGTACAAAATACCTCCTTGTATTTCAGATTCCACCTCTCTAAAATGACAGTAATAACAGTACCTACAGTCTGTAGGATTATGTAAGAATGTAATATGTTTTGTTTTTTTTTTTTAATTTTTTATTTAAGGAGAAAAGAAAAAAAAACAGTGAAGGGGTACAAGTTATACAGATTTACAGAAGAAAAAAATGCGCAGTAGGAAATCACTAGTTAATGGATAAGAATGTAATATGTTAATACATGTCACACACTTAGCACTGGCCTGGCATCTATATGGCAAGCGATTTACAAAGGTTAGACATCTGTGCTATTACAGTTTTCTGCCAGTGAGTAAAATAGCGCATCAAGATGGCAACCCCTGCTGATGAAGGCAGATTTCTGCGGCCCATTGCAAATCTCCCATAGATCAGCTCTTCTTGCATCTCATGTGGACAGAAGATTCCAGTATTTGTCTGCTTTTATCTTTTAAGATCAAAGATACCTGGTGTCTGGTAGAAATGAATGGATGACCCACTTCAAGCCAGAAACAAGGAACTGTTTGTTCTTTAAAATAGAAGCCTCCTTCCAGCCACCTACATAGCAGTAACTGTGTTTGGAAGTTGTTGATGCTGGGAAGATGCCTCAGAGCATGGTATATACTGAGGAGGATGGGCAGCAGGATGCCAGCCATCACCTAGTCTGTGTTTCACAGAGCGTCAGATCAGGAGGGAAAGTGGTTCTGTCCTCTCTAGCTGAACTTCTCCATCGGTCCCATGAGCTGTGAGCTGGAAAACCTTGGTTAACAAGACTGTTGGTCTCCAGTGGTATCAGAGAGTGAAGGCTGGAGTTTCAGATAGATGGTGAGAGCTGGCACTCCGTCAGTTGGTTGCACCTCATTGTGAAGCTACTGAACATCTCAGCTGCCAAGCCAAGCACCTCCCTGACCTTTCTGGAGAGCTCAGCACACCTGCTTCTCTCCAATAGTAAGCTACAAAGTTGTAGAAGTGGTGTTGTTAGTAGAAGTAGTCCATCACCTTCCTGAAGCTTGTGTCCGAGAGTGGGGTCTCCAGACTGAGAGGCAGTGTAATCGCCCCCAAAGAGACATGCTCATGCTTGCTTCCTGTTGACTGCATCAGGCAGGGTTAACAGCCATTACTGTGGTCACCAGGGTCCCACACCAGTGCTCGGTGAGCTGGTTGCAGCCATGGAAATGTTTGGTTTGGCCCACATGATTGTATATTTTGTACAGTTCATACATATATTAATTAATTGCAGCCTGCAATAACAGGAGATTGCACATAAACATCAGTATTTCCAACTTTTTTGGTCATTTTCTGATAGGATAGGGGCTGACCAAGTGGAAATAGTCCTCCTGTATGAGGTAGTGGTCTCTCCTTGGCCTCTGTACCTTGCTATGGCCCCCAGCTGGCTCACTTCCATGCTCATATTCATTTCCTAACCTCAGAGGCATGATGTTTGTGAATCTTCCCACACAGCCCTATGTGATTTTCTCTGCAATATAATCCCAAATGAAAAGTAAGAAGTCTGCTTGTTACACTCCCTGACCTCATTTTAACAGATTGCTAAATAGTCTCAGGCCTTTGCTCTCAATTTAAGTTCAAAAATGCTTAGTAAAACATTCATTGTGTCATTTATTTAAAATCACATGATGGAGCTGGGCATGGTGGTATACAACCCTAATCCCAGCACTCAAGAGGCTGAGGCAACAGGATCACCACAAGTTTGAGGCCAGCGAGAACTACATAGTGAATTCACAGCCAGCCAGAAGAGACTGAGACCCAGTGTCCAAAAGAAAAAAAAAGTTGAAAATTTCTCACCCTTTGGTTTTCCTAAGTCAGAAGTATTTTTTTCCTTTGACCTTTTCATAGCAGCATTTTATGCTGTTCTGGTTTCTACCAGCAATGCAGGCTAGACAGCAGCCCAAATCTGACCCTCTGGCCTTGTCCTTCGTCATTGGCTTTGGGCTGCTGATAGATGTGAAGTTACAGGCCATACCTGGGGAAGCGAACCTGGAGAGACAGAGGGAAAATCAGATATGTGTTTCACTTCCACAAAGTTGAAAACTGAGTCATAAGACCATGTGATACAAAGGTAATATGTACAACAGTGTTTGCAAAGTTCCTTTCTTGGGAAGCTGCCCCCCACCTTTGCACCAGCTGTGTGGCCAGCCTCCTCCCACAGGCCTTGTCCCCCCACCCCCACAGGTTGCATTCCTCAGCTAATATAATCCTCCCAGCTCCAGTTTGTCCCCCTTTGTACCATTTCTTTATCCTGAAGATGGAAGAAGTGCATTTCTCTGCTACCTGCTAGCCACTTGAGGGTCATTTGAGCATAGCAAGGCCTGTGGCAGAAAGCAGTCTGTGAAAGATCTGTGTCCTGAAAGCCAAGTGCACCTGTCACTGTGTGGATCTGTAACCGGTATACACAAAGTCATTAAACACTCTGGGAGCTTTGGATCAGAAGTCATCTCGTTGGCATTGTTGCTTCACTGCTACATTAATGTTGTATTAATTTGTTCAAATTCCCATGACTCCTGTTTCACACAAGGTCATGGACTTCTCAATCGAAAAGTTTTGGTAGTTTTGGTAGGTCTGAAATTTCAGAGTATTGAGCAAGGCCTACTCTAAGCTAGAACATGATCTAATAAGATTGGACTGTCAAAACAAGAAGCACCAGTCTGTGGTTAAAAGGTTTTTAAAGAAAGAAATGTTGAAGCTCTTCTGTGAGAAGCTCAAAAATATCATAAAACATGTAGACTGGAACCGACTGTTTTTTCCTTTCTACTGTGGTCGGTGCCACACTGCTCATATTGAAACGGAGACAATAGAGTGGAATGAAGTCTGATTACACAGAAACAATAGATAGTATCTTTCTATTGGGAAACTCTAATCGGTTGTGTAATTAGTAGGGGGAAGCATCAGAAAAATACATGAGACATCTTGTAAAGACCCTGAAGGTCACTGGGGTGACTGGCTCCAAAACCTCGGAATAGACAATCTACAAGTGAGACTGGAATCAGGCAGAGGGAGTCTTAATCCCTGTCCACCACCTGTAAGGTTCTGGCCAAGTTATTTTACCTGTTTGCTTCAGGCATTTTTAGCACCCCAAGTGGGAACTGAAACATTACAGGATTGTCATGGGTTTAAGAGGAGTGATGATGGAGAATGCGGGGACCAGAGCCTGGCATGTGATGTGTACTGGGTCGGTGACAGCAGTTGCTATTAGGTGCGGTGGAAATGTGTGGCAGCTGTGTGTGCTGTGGATGTACAAGATGGCTTTCAAAGTCAAAACAATGTCATAGCTTTGTTTCTGTTTTCATAACATTTACATTTCCACATTCTTTAAGTTCCTTGCGTCAGTCTCCTACCTCAGTGAATGTCTTCTCCATCCTCAGTAGCTTTTTCACTCCCTTCTCCAGTATTACGCTCATGAATAAATGCTCCAACTGAATTTTACTGAAGGTTTAAATTGACTCTGGGATGAGTCACTGACCTGCTTCAGCTTCCTGGAATGCCTCTTCCATTCATTTATCAGAGTGTAATATTCCCATCATGCCTACTGCAGAATTACAAAGTAACCATTAACAAGATGTGTTTGTGAAATGCCTTATCTGTGTAGTCACTTGTGATAAAACACTGATAAAGAATATGGCTTATTGATGAATATATAGAGACTGCAAAGGAGGAAAAAAATACGCTAAAAGTAATCTCACTTTTAATATGTTAGATTACAAGGATGACTGAAACCTAATTGATTTTATCAGATAAATTAGAGGTCAAAGTTACACTGAGGTAGTCACTGCCTTCAAACCATTGCCGTGAAACGTGGAGGAAGATTTGTGCTGGTGGACGGCCCTGAGGAGTTTGCCCTCACCAGGAGCAAAGGATTTGATCTGTGCCCCACCACGTAAAGCTGAAGTAAAGAGCTTTTTTCCTACCAAATACTAGAAACCGTGAAAGAGACCATTCTCCTTGTCCTGGATAGAATTAAATACCAAATAAGAATTCTGTTTAGCTTTGTGTGTTTTTGCTTAGTTTAAAGCCAGAATCTTTAAAGAAGTCTAGAAGGTAAAATGCACACATTGTTTGATGTTTCATTTTTACCCCATAAAATCTTCAGAGTAAACAATCTTACCTTGGACTTTCAAAACCATATACAATAAAAACATTTAATTTGCTCCAACACAGTGTGTGATGTCACTAGAAATTCTTGATAAAGTTGTCAGCATGAATATGCCATTCAGTTACTAAGCTGTGCTTTATTTGTGGAATATTGTGCAATCTGTCAGCATTTCCCCTTTCTTTCCTGTAAACTGTAACTTTTCTAGTGATTAGCATTTAAAGTCTTTTCCTGATTAAGGAATGGTCAGCTGAAATCATCAGGGACTTCCCCTTGACTACTTTGGAAAAATCTAAAGAATTGGATGTGTTGCTTGGAAATTAAGAAATTTGAAATAATTCATGTGAACCTAAATAGTGCAATAGAATCAAGAAATGATAACTGGGTGTGGTAGCACTCATCTGTAATCCAGCACTAGGAAGGCTGAGACAGGAGGGTCACCATGAGTTCAAGGCTATCTTGCCTAGTGAGTTCAAAGCTAGCCTGAATTGCATAGTGAGACGCTGTCTCAAAAAAATTTTTTTCTTGAAAATAAAGGCAGTCACTGAAGAAATAAAACAACCTTAAGATAATAAACTCTGTAAAGCTTTAATATACTTTATTATCTCTATTCCATGCCTGTCAGAAAAGTTGTTATATTTTAAGAGCTATGCTGAAATAGAAACATTAAAATAACATTTCAGATGCTTGGAAAGTGGTTTTTAATTTACTTTTTTGATTGAGCTCATGGAAACCTTTATTTATAAATCAAAATTTTATCCACAATGCACCCTTAACAAGGATACCAGAGTTGGGGTGGTGGGACGTGTGCTGGGCTGGACAGAAGGCAAGAGATCTCTTTCAAGCCCAAGGGGTGTATAAGAGACCCTCTGCCCATGGCAGGATGCACTGGGTGAGTGGGAGGTAGCTGTCGTGGTAAAGAGTGAGGAGCCTAGAACCAAGCATGGTGACGTGCACCTGTGATCCTAGCATTCGAGCTGAGACAGGAGCATCACCGCGAGTTTCAAGGCCAGCCTGGACTACTTAGTGAAACCCCTTCTAAAATGAGAAGAATGGTTAAAAGAACTTCTTACAAGAAGTGACCTTTCAAATGAACCAGCATGGATAAGAGCAAAAAAAAAAAAAAAAAAAAGCACTCAGCAAGTGCAAAGGAATGAAAACTAAAAGCCCTAGGGCTGGGCTGAATGTGATGTTCAGGAAGCAGTAAGAAGGTAGGTGCTGCTGGGAGGTGTAGGAGGGCGCTGGTGGGGATAAACCCTGAAAAAGGAAAAGGCTGTTCTGATAAAAGTCAGCTAAAGGGAGAAAAAACTAGCTGTTTGGTTTATCTGCTGTGTTTCAGAATTGTCCCAGTTCTACAAATCACATTCTTAGCACTCAGCAGGCTGAGGCCAGAAGGTTGCCACAAGTTCAAGGTCATCCTGGTTTACATAATGAGTCCCGGTCTCAAACAAAACAAAACAGTAAAAATGACATGTATGAAAAACACTTTGAAGAAAGAATAAGATGCTAGCCAGTGTGGTGGAATATAACTGTAATCCCAGCACTCCAGGCAAAAGAGTCACAAATTCAAGCCCAGCCTGGGCAACTTAGTGAATTAGTGGAACCCTTGTCTTAAAAGTAGAAAATAAAAAGGGGTTAGGATATAGCTCGGTGACAAGGCCCTCAGCTCAATCCCCAGTGTCAAAATAGGGTAAATTGCATGCCAAATCTGAGCTGGGTACAAGCTCCAGAACTGGATTTTGTTGTGTTTTATTTTGTTGTACTTTGAAATGGGATCCTTTGACTTGAGCTAAATCCCCACCCCTTTTTAAAAATTTTTTTATTTCAAGGTAGATCTTGCTAAGTTGCCCGGTTGCCCAGATGGGGAGCCAACCTACAATCTTCTTGCCTCAGCCCTTTCAGAGTGCTGGGTTTGCAGATGTGTGCCACCACCCTGCCCAGATTCTAAACTTGTATTTGGTGATAAATTGACCTTACTATTGGCAACTCTTAAAAAGAAAAGAACTTGCCATGGATTTAGCTCAGCAGCATAAGCGCCTGCCTGGCAAGCACGTGGTCATGAGTTCAATCTCCAGTACAAGAAAAAAAAAAAGAATTTTATGGCTTTCCATTTATGTGGCTTTTGTTGTCATCTTCTACACAGAAAAAAGAGAGGGAACATCTTTGCTTCAAAAGTCGTTTATCCTTTAACATCTCCTGTTTCCGGCTCACATACTCTGATAGCTTGACGAATGCCCTGTATTCCCCTGTGGGCATTATGTGGTAACAAGGAAAAATCTCAAAACTTGCCTTCTCTCAGCAAGTAAGAGAAACTTCCTCTGCAGAGCAAACTCCAAAAAAGTGCATGAGATAGAGCCAGAATTCAGGCCACTGGCTGTCGAGCAAACAGTGGCAGGGCTGCAGACCTCTCCTGGGCTCTTCTGCCGGCCATGTGAGACCCCTGAGCCACCTTGGCTGAGCAACCTTTGGCCATATAGCACTTTCAGGCCAGTTATTTAGAATATAGCAAAGTGAAAAGATTGGCCTGTGTTCTTCAAAGACTGGTAATCAGAGGATGGCACACACACAGAGCGGTGAGTTAGCTGCTGTAGAAGACGATTCACTGAAAATAAGCTAGCAGCCAGAACCAGAGTCGTTCCTGCCAAGTGAAGAATGGAGCAGCAGGCCAGTTCCTCCCTGCGTTAAAAGCTTCAGCAAATCTCATAAATTAGTAATGGACTTCTTAGGTTCCCTTTCAAGGAGCCTTGCATTGTTAGACTCTCCGTCACTCTGAAAAATCACCAAACCCAGATAGTGGTTGTTTGCCACTTACTCCCTCCCCCTCTGCTTCTGAAAGTGGAGCTGGGATTCTGGAAGTAGCTTTCTTTCTCAGTGGTAAATCTGGGTAGGGCCCTGCAGGTTTCCATTCATCTACTGGCTCGGTGATGCAACATAAAGAAGGTGCTGGGTGGCACCAGATGGGAAGATGGCAGAGTGTGACCTCTGTCATAGCATGGGGGTAAATGGAGCACAGTGCAAGGGCAGAGAGCAGCTGATTCCAGTGAAAGAGGTACGAATGAGGAGAGCCTCAGCCAGGTGTGGTGGCAAACCTGTATCTCAGTTCCTGCAAGGCTGAGCAGGAGGCTCACAAGTTCAAGTCCAGCTGGGCAACTTGGCAAGCTCCTTTCTCAAAATACAATTTTACAAGGGTTGGGGATGTGAAAAAAAGTGCTTGCTGTAAGTGTGCAAGGTTGTGGGTTCGGTCCCAACAACTGCAAAATGAGTGAATGAATGAATGAATGAATGAACAAATAATGGAAGAGCTTAAGGAAGTAGCTTGACTTGGACTGAAGAGCTTAAAGGAAGAAGATATGACCAGGCACAGTATCACATGAGACAGACAGACACAGAAGAGTGATCGTGCATAGCATGTTTCTTCATCACTGACCTTTCTTATATGACTCGGAGCCTTTTTTTTTTCCTGTCCTTTCCTGTTTCTGCAAAAACAGATGAAAGGAGAGTTAGGCAGAAAGAGGGGTGGAGTAGGAGGGAATGTGGGGCTCCCGGGGACAAAGCAGAGGAGGGTTTGAGCTGTAGCATCACAGGGAGCTGCATGGGCCTGGGGCGGTTCCATTTCCTCAGAGTTCAGTGTCCAGCCATCAGGTTGGCATGCTTCTGTTGTGTCAGCCTGAGAAACAAAGCAGGTATGTGGCACATGTCAGAGGGACACACCTGCTTCCACATCACACTGTCCTCTACTTCAGCTAAATAATTCTGCATGTCAGAGCCTTTTCCCTTCTATAATCATGTCTCCAAAAGTTAGGTCCTTACCTCTACAGAAATACAGTCATTTATAACCTGTTCCCTGTAACTGCGCTAATGGAGGTGTTCTCACAGAAAGTGCAGTGATGTTGGCAGTTGTACTTTCCATGGAGAGGCCTTCCAGTCTTCACTGCCTTCATTTGCCTCTGTCAGCATCTTCATTCTTGTCACATGGCTGATGAAGACAAATGCCATTCATTCCCAGGCAAGCAAGTGAACAGCACACTTTCCTCTCAGATTCTGTTGTGCTCATTTGAAGTAGTTGTTACGTAGTTTTAGCTTCAACAGGGCTCTCTTAAGCTCAGTATAACTCAATTTAAATATATATATGCATGATTCTGTATGATTTATGTACATGCTATATATGTATGATTATATATGTGAGGTGTGTGTGTGTGTGTGTAAAGCACATGATCCAGGCTCTGCCTTAAGTAGCTAACTGCCTTCTTGGAAAATTAGGACTTACAGAAAATAATTAAGCAACAATATGAAGAAAGCATATGGCAAGGTGTAAAGTCTATTAAGTGCTGTGTATTTATGACACTGTCAGCAAGTGTCAGTCATGCATGGGAAGGAGAGGGAGCAGAATTGTTACAGGGAGGTTCCAGGCTCTGGAAACTTAATTAGACCAATCAGTCTGTCCTCTAATAACCTTTTCTTTTTGACATCTTTTCTTTTGACATCATTCTTCTACCTTCCCAGTGAACTCTAAACATGAAGCCAGCCTGGAAAAAATAAATTATTTAAAGATAGTGGTTCCCAAAACATTTCTTACATAATACCCTTACTCTCTTCACCTGTGCTTTAAATCCTTCCCTGCCAATTGCATTTACAGATAATAATTTAATCTTCTATGTTGTGTTAATCAAAAAATTTCCCATCAGAGATTTGAATCAGTGTAAAACAATGTGAATTCAGTGTAGCAACACTGTTATTTTAAGTCAAATTTATAGAAGAAAGAAGAAACAGGGTGTTTTATTAATTATGAATCTTAGATACTATTATGTAAACATGTACATCCAGAAAAAATGCAAAATCCAGAAACTATACAAAAAAGTAATTAATTAGTGACCAAAAAAAAACCCCTGATCAAAGTCAAAAGGTAAACTCTCAATTACAGAAGAGGAGAAGCTGTGTGTTACAGAGGGTCAGTTACAGAAAAGGAGAAATTGTTATGTTACAGAGGGTTAATTTCCAGCACAAAAATCTTACAAATTAGGAAAATGACAAGCCAGTTTTATGGAAAAATCAAAGAACAAAAATGGCTCCTAAAAAGCAATACTCACCCACAAATAAGAAAATAAGAATATAAGTCTTTTAACCTGGTAAAAGAAATGAAAACAAAGGTTTTTTTACCTATCAATTGGGAAAGATGTACACTTTTAATAATCCTTGGATTGGTAGAGTGAATGGAGGAGTAGCCTTCCTCAAAGACTGTTAGTAGGAGTATAAATTGATAAAAGCTTTTCCAAGGGCAGTGTGGCAAAGTTATCTGCATTTAGGATGCACTTACCCTTTGGTATAGCAACAGCATCTTAAACCGTTTACTCAGCAAGTGGGTGCACACAGAGAGCGAAGGTGCCAGTGCACTGAGGTTCATTGTGGCATCTATGGTGTCAGCCAGAAACTATACCCAAGCCTTATGCTTCTGATCAAGGTGCAGTGACAGGAACCACAGTACCTGTCTGCATTCACAGCAAAACAAGGTATATGAAATAGCAGCACTTGGGACATTGGATGTCAGCTGTGAAAAAGGCAGTGACCTTTGAAGACACGATTCCAGGCTGCTGTTCAGAGAGGGCAATGTGGCCAGATCTGGAGTTCTCCCCGCAGGAGGAGATGTGGTTGGGGGTCCAGAGAAGCCAAGACCACTAACCTCGAGTGGGAGAGAGAGGCCCAGGAGAGACATGTGGAGTCGAGAGGCCTCCCTTGTACACTGAGCACATGTGTGTGAGGCAAGCTATGTAAAGAGCCATGTAAAGGACTAGCAACTACAGTGCCCAAACTCAGACGGGAACAGAAAAACGCCTGTTCCCAACAGCCACAAAAGAAACACTTGTAGTTCAGATGCTGAACTAGCCAGAGGTTAAACAACTCCAGTCACCCCCGAACACAACTATAACTATATAACTATATATATATATATATTTTTTTTTTTTTTTTTTTTAGGACAGAGAGTGGGTTATTTTTATTTCTTAGTTGAGATTCTATTATACTTTGTTTTCTAAAAGTATGTTTTAAAAAAATAAATAAAAGTATGTTTTAAAATTATGAAACAAGTCAAAGATTGAGATTTTTTTCAAGGGCAAAAGAAGAACTTTCTCAACATGTTTTAAAACTACAAAAAGAACATAGCTTTAGAGACCCAAAAATGGGGCCACGGATATAGCTTAGCAGCAGAGCGCCTGCCTGCCAGGGCAAGGCCATGTGTTTGGTTCCTGGCACCAAAAATAAATAAATAAATAAATACCTGCTTACCCAGAAAGATCAGTTTTTTTCAGGTAATTTTACTGTATCCCAGAACAAAGTTCAATAATGTTTATAAGTAGACCAAAAAAGTGACAAAGGAAAAGAGGGTGTGACAAAAATAAAGCACACCTCAGCATGTCTAGAATTAATGAAAATTTGCTAGACAACCTGAGTATACTGAGAGAAATATAAAAGTAGTTCATTGAAACTGGTCCAAAAATGACACAGATATTAATAGGCAAGGGCATTAAAATAGGTAGGTAGATAGATAGACAAAAGGGATAGAGATGATCCAAATTAAACTTCTAGAGATGAAACCTACACTGACTGTGCTTTAAAAATATACAGGATGGATTTAATGATGGCTTAGACAATATAGAAGACACTCGAGAACTGGATAACATAGCAGTAAAAGCTGTCCAAAATGGAATACAAAACAAAGCTTTTAAAAATAGTCTAGGCATGGTGGCACATGGCTGTAATCCCAGCACTCTGAAGCAGAAGGCTATCAACTTCGAGCCCAGTGTGGACAACTTAGTGACTTACTGAGATCCTGTCTCAAAATAAGGGCTGGGGATGTGACCCAGTGCAAAGGCCCTGGGTTTAATCCCCCTACCACACATATGCACGTAGCTTACACACTTCATGCTACAAAATTGAAAGCATGTCTCCTCAGGAAGAAACGACTTCTGTTTAACACCATACTAAAGATTTAAGAAAAAGCAATAAAGGTATCCACTTAAAAAGAAGTAGTAAAATGATCATCTGTACCAAAAATCCAGTGAAAAATCAACAAAAAGCTACTAGAACTTGTAAGTTTAGTAAGTCTGAAGAATACAGGATCAAAAAAGATTAATCATATTTCTATATTCTAGCAGCATACCATCAGAAATTGGAATTATTACATGATATTTGTAGTATCAGAAATATGAACTGTCTGTTGATATATCTGACTAAAGATGTGACAGTACAAACATCATTGAAAAAAATAAAAACCTAGACAAATAGGAGATGCACCATGATGTTGAGTCACAAGTCATCACAGACCTGAGGCTCGGTTCTTGCCAGTGGATAGGAGCCCAAATAGGTCTGAGGGAGTTTTGTTGTTGTTGTTTTTGGTAGATATTAGCAAGCTTATTGCGAAATTCATCTGGAAACACAAAGAACCTTCAACAGCAAAAGTAAATTTGAAAAAGGATGAAGTTAAACTTAATTTACCTGAGATTTATAAAGCAGTAAGTCAAGATAGGTAGTGAGATGGACAGTAAAGAGATCAGGACAGATGGACAGTAAAGAGATAGGCCACCAATTAATTTTCCCCTGATGTACAAAGACAGTTCCAGGGCTCTCAGAAACATACAAAGACAGATTCCCCAAGGAAGCACGAAGAGGATAGCCTTTTTCAAGAAGGGGGCCCTGAATCAGATAGGTATGTATATACAAAGTCTACAAGAACATGTATGCATACTTCAGCATACTTCATGCATACTTAATAAATGTCTGAAAGCTAACAGTCACCACTTCAAACACCACTTGTCATTGTTGAGGCCAGAGGTAACTTGGATTAATCTCATGTCTTAGTACATTTAGTATTAAGATATTTGTACACGTTTTTATTCTCCCGATATATCTTGTTGGCAGACTCTGGTTGGTTGGGGTTTTTGTTTGTTTGGGACAAGATCTCACACTACATCATGTAGGCTGGCCTTGAACTCATAGTGTTCTTCCTGCCTCACCTTCCCAAGAAATAGGATTACAAGTGTGTACCACTATGCTCTCTAGGCAACTATTTTTTAAGAAGTCAGTTTGTGTGCGCCAATATGCATTGATTCTCCCAAATAAATAATTAGATAAGAAATGCAGGATGCAAAACAATGTCTGTCAACATAATCCCAATTAGGGAAGCTGAGCTCAAAAGATCACAGGTTCTATTCCTGCTTGGGCAACTTAGTGAGATCCCATCTCAAAATTTAAAAAATACATGAATAAAAAGGGATAGGGATGTTAGAACATTCCTGGGTGTAATAACCAATAGCACAAAATAAACCAATAAAAAATGATATCCTCTTTTAAGTAAAAATAGGCCTTAGATGTGTTTGTCTTTTTATATGTATATTATATGTTTGTACATACACAGGACATTGTGTGTGGAGGAGGGATTGCTTGAAGCACACACAAAAGCATGGTCCTGGCTGTTTCTGAGGATTGAGATTGTGACCTTGTAGAAAAGGGAAAGAAGTTTTCATTTCTCACTTTATTCACTTATGTGTTTTTTGTTTTGATGTTTCATAGTTTGGTCAGTTTGGTTTGGTTTGGTTTGGTTCCAGACTCAGCTCAGTTCGACTCAGCTGTGCTGAAAGGCTAGGGCCTCTGAAGTGCTAGGCAAATACAATACCTCTGAGTTACAATTCCAAAACCATCTATGTGCATAACTGTTTACACATTTAAAAAAAAATTTAGGCACAACATTCAGAGAGAGAAAAAAGAGGCAAAGAGAAAAGGCAAAATTTGGAGCTATCAAAGGAAATATAATTATCAAGTGACCATAACTATTGGATAATTCTCAGCTCAAATCTGAGATTTGAAATATAATTCAGTGTGTTATAGTGCTTTTTTAAGCACTGAGAATTGAACCCAGGGTCTTGTACTGAGCCTCATCCCCAACCTATGTTTTTAAATTTTTCTACTTTAAAAACAAAACAAAAGCTAGAAATGATAATAGAATTTCAAAAAATAGTAGGAAATTAACACTAGTTAATGTATTGCAAATCATTATCTTAGAAGTCATTATTCAGGTTACAAGATTTAGGCATGAAAAACATGATTCAACAACACACACACACACAACACACACACACACACACACATATACCTATGTACATATAATCCTTTTGAGATAGAGTGTTTCTAAGTCACTAAATTGCCTAGACTGTGCTCAAACTCAGACCCTCCTTCCTTAGCTTCCACTCTGGCATTACACACATATACCATCACACCCTTTGGTTACACTTTTGAATCCCTGTAGCAGGCATCTTCCTGAGAGACTTTAAAGATCATTTTAGATTAGTAAATTGATGTAATGGGTTTGTAACAACGAACTAAAATATTTTACACTTCATTTCTTGATAAGATTATAAAGGACTTATTTTTTTAATTTTGAATTTAAAAAGCTCTTTAGTATTATGTGAGAGCTATTTTGTATTGCAGGAGAAGCAGGTATAATACTAAGAAGATCAGAAGAGTTTTTTCCTGCCATATTAGGTACAGAAAGTAAGGAAATAAAATGAGTGTAAGTTTAGATATCTTTAGGAACATCAGAGCACTTGAAGATTTGATCTGAAGAACTCACTTATCCAGTATGATATAAAGTAACCCCAAAATGCATGTGTACGCTTATTGTAGGACTTAAAGGCAAGACCATAGTAGTTAACTAATTATCACAGGAATTACTGTGAATGAGTTTGTGAAGATTCTTGACATCTCTAAATGAGTCTGAGTGGATTAGCAGAGCGATTTGGGAACTCCTTTGAGTCTTTGGAGATTAGTATGTATTATAAGCTTCTTTCAATGACACATTACCATCCTAAGAACTAGTCATAATTATGGGTGAGGTTTTCTAGCACAAGGAAATGCATTTTTTAGAACTGATTGCTTTAGTGAGACTAACATTGGAGGAAATAGCACTGGCCATTTTTTCAGGTTAGATAGTTACTTTTAAGAGGCAGACATAACCAAGTATGATGGTATATACCTGTAATCCAGTGACTCAGGAGGCTGAGGCAGAGGAATCACAAGATTACAAGTTTGAGCCAGTATGGGCAATTTAGCAAATTGGTAAGACCCTGTCTCAAAAACTAAAATGGGCCCGGGATGCAGCTCAGTGTGAAGGCCTTGAGTTCAGTCACCACTACCATGCTGGCCAGCCCGTGTCAGCTTATCTCCTTCTCCAGTAACCCACTTGGCCAACTTGTTTGATGTGTCAGGTCAGCTCTAACAATCTGGAACCCTTTCATTATGGTGTAGAGAATGGTAATAAGTACTACATTGCCCTCTGGGATCAGACTTACTAGCTTTGTGACAGTGGGCAAATTTACCTCTCAGTGCCTCAGTTCCCTTCTGTGTCAGATGGTAACAGCCTCACAGAGTTGCTGTAAGATGCCTTGTGAATTCTAAAAGTCCTTACTTAGCTCAAGCCCTGGCACATAGTCAGCACTTGACCAAATGATGGATGGTGATAATGGTCACATTAATAGGGGTAGTTGGCACTGTATTTCACTAGTGCCACTTCTCTCTGGGTGCCTCTAAAAGAACCACCATTACCTAGAACTGTTGACCCTTGGACCACTGAGGCTGAGAGTGAAAGCCAAAAGTTGAGCTGAAGGGGATGGGACCTGCTTCAGTCTCCTAGAGTGCTGATATTACACATAAGCAACACCATCCCTGGCTGAAAAACAGAATTTAAATCCATTTGTCTTGATTACTTTTCTCTCATTGCTGAGACAAAATACTTGACCCCTAAAATGAGGGAAGGAAAGGTTTATTTAGCTCACAGTTTGTGGAGGTTTCAGTCCATAATCTGTTGGCTCTAAGGGAAGGTAGTATGCCTGAGGGGCAACATGGTTGCTGTAGCAGATACCAGCAACAACCAGAGAAAACAAGCAAAAGAGAAAAGCATTCCCCCTTCCTTCCCTTATATTTTATACCTGGTACTCGTCCTTATGCTGGTGCAGCACTCAGACTGCCAATCCCAGTGCTAGACAATGAACCAATCACAAACACTTGACTCAGGTGCCTTGGGAAGCCCCCCCATCACCACATGAGGCTTGGGGGAGACATTTAAACACAAGCCATAGCACCAGCATATCTCAACAAAGAGAAAATTGATGTGGGAGACGGGGGTCTCAGACCTGGGAGGCCTTATGTACCCTTCTTTCTAAACTTGGTGCAGCTCACGAGTCATACTGTATGCCTGTAGCTCCAGTTTTAATGTAACGCTGAGCCCACTGAAAGTGAAATCCAGTCCCAATCCCTGTATGCTTTAGGTTTTTGTGTTTGTGCATACGCATGTTGAGGTAGAAACAATACATACATTAAGGAAGAAAGGCTTCTTATAATTTTGAACAAGTCATTAGACTTCTGTGACTGTGTCCTCATCTGAGAAACGCTGTCAGTGCCAGGCCCTGCCTCACAGGGTGCTGTGCACAGTAGATAATAAAAATGTGGGAAAGCACTGTGTAAATGTCAAGTGCTGTGTAATGGGACTGGGTAGCCTCAAACGTTAGCGTGGGGAAGGTGAAAGCTACAGACTTTCTTACCCTTGAGTATCAAACTACTTTCTATATTTTAATGGTTTTTATATATACTTTTCTATTACTATCACAGAATTAGTAAACAAAATTAGAAGCACTGCCTTCAGCATAAACCATATTGCTGGAAGTTACCTGTTTCAGAGCCTAGGCCTCCCTGGCAGAGCATTTACAGCCAGCTTCCTGCATTTCAAATGCAGTCAACAGTGAACTGCTGAGTTGTGCAGTGTGGCCTGCACAAATTTATTCAGGAATGACATTGGGAGTGTAGCGAGCCCTGGAGGGGGCCTGGTGTCTAGTGTGCTTCTTACAAGCTCCAGGCTACCACAGCCTGTGCAAGGGCAAATAGTCCCACCTTTCGTTATTTGGTGCTTTTCTCTAGGAGGACCAAGGCTTTTTTGTGGACTTAATCTATTTAATTCTCACAGCATCCCCGAAGTGTAAGTGTCTGATATCATCCTCACTCTGCTGACAAGGAAGCATAGGCAGGGCTGAAAACTGGCATTTAAAGGGCACATATGGGAGCAAATCAACACCAGGAGTGGGAGTGGTCTACATTTTATTTATGTTCCTCTTCCATCTGGCCAAATTCTCCTAAGTGAAACGAACTCAAGAATTCTATAAAACTCATACTTTGTTTGGACTCCGGTGTATATTTGCTTAAACACTGGCAGATTTTCTAAGCTTCATTTTTGTCATCAGGTGTCTTAGGGCTTTTGACTTTAAGAACACCATCAAGGCTGTGTTAATAACAATGCATAGTGTACTGAACCAAATATATGTGAGTTTGACTGCTGAGCTTTGGTTCCCAAGAAAACGCAAATAACCATACTTGCTTGAGGTATGTATCCATGAAATGGGTTCGTATATATAATCTGCTTGGCAGAGTGTCTGGCTCACAGTAAGCCTTTAATAAATAATAGTGCTCACATTACAAAACAGGTTCTTGGCTTAGCTTCTCCTTTGATAAGACTTGCACTGACTGTTTAAGCTGTCAGTAAGCCACTTTATATGTACTCTTTAAAAGAATACCCCATGTGTTACTGTGGCAGGCCTGTTTCCCTGTCTCTGTCCTTTCACCCATTCTGTGTTGACTGGGACACACTTGCTCAAGGAGTAGTCCTACAGCTGAACTTGGGTTTCCCCCAACACAAGGGTACCTCTTCAATGGACCCTGTGAGAAGCTATTTAGTCTTTCTGTTTTTGTTTTGTGTGTGTGTGGTTTTGGTTGGATTTTTTGTTTTGCAGACAGTTTCGCTATGTATTTCAGACTGGCCCTGAATCCAGTGTGCAGCCCAAATTGGCCTCAAACTTGCTGTGATCCTCACGCCTATGCAGGGATTACAGACTAAAGCCATTTAGTCTTATAAGCCAATCTCTGATTTCAGAATTCTCTGAGTTCTCATGAAAGTGGTAAGCTACTGTGCAGTGTCCTTGGAAACTGTCCACTTAGGGTCTTGGGGTTGGGGGCAGTGTGATCTACTCATCACAGGGACTTGGAAGAGGCAGAGTTGTCTGAGTGGAACACCAAGTTGATCCCACGTCATAGACACTGGCTGCTATCAGGAGTGCTTGCGCTTGACTGGGGCGCATGTAAGACATAAAGCGTCCTGAGCCCCAGTCTATACCTGCAGAATCAGAGTCTCCAAGGGTGAACCTGAGGGTCAGAATTTACTTCTAATACACTCTTCCTTGTAGTTGTGATACCCTGCCAGGTCAGAACCATGACTAAGGCACAAGAAAGGCAGCACAACGCCAAGTTCATTGCTGGTACTGACTTAAGCCAGAGCCCTGAATGGAGCTCTGCTCACCTCAGGGTCAGCACACAGCTCTCCCCTGCTGCTCGGGTCCCTGCTTGCCTGTGGATGGGCGGAGCATCTGAGCTGTCTGTGTGAGCTTTCCTGTCTGCACTGTACAGATAACACTTCCTGACCTAAAAGTGGCAGGGTGAGGTTACATTAGTTAAAGGGGTTCACTTATCCTTTACTCAGGCTGACCTAAAACAGGTGCTCAATTAAGCCGTATTGCAGGGAGGTCTGAGTCATTTGGCAGCAGCTGTCTGTGCTTCATTGGAGGTGCTTTAATCGCTGCCATCGAATTACAGGTGATAGTCCTATCTAGCATGTGCTCCAGGCTATGGTAAGTGACTTCTCCGGATAATGGGCTCTGCCCTTGAGGACTGCAGGGAGGAACCCACCTACAGGACGCCATTGATGGGGGAGACATATATAGTGACGGCAGAGAACCTGATCATCCAGCTTGGAAGGAGCTTGGGGACGTCATTCTGTCCACCTGGCTTCGAGAAATGAAGTACCTCCACTCAGTCACAAAGAGCAGGGAGCAGGTTGTATGACCCAACCAGAAAGAGTGCTTCCCACCTCCCCATCCTGGCCATTGCAGAACTGGTTTTCTCACAGAGCCATGTTTGAGAAGGCCTAGGCCAAAAAAGATTAGGAAGTACCATGAAGCAACCAGGAAAGAAGTGTTAAGGCAAGAGTGGATAAGTGAGTTCTGTTCCACAGATGGAAGTCACGATAAGACTATGAGGAGGGGGCCAGACTCCAAACCTCTGCTAGTGCGAGAACTGGGATGGCACTCAGGGGGGTCATATGGTGCTGGGAAGCCACTCCACAGGGTTCGAATCACCAGCACTGTTTCTGAACAGTTATTGTGTGCCAAGCCCCTATATAGCATTTTATGTACTGTAATTCTTATTTTTTTCCCAGAACACCCCTAACCATGAGTGTTCCCATTAGGCAGGGCTTTCCCCATTGCAGATGACAGCACCCCTCAGAGAACCTGATGACCTGCTCAAAATCAGAGGTCCTGAGAGACGTAGTGTTTGTACCCATGCTGGCTCCTTCTTTGAGGCCCAAGAATGCAATAAATTCTCAATTTAAGCACATTAATTTGTGAACTTTCACAGATATGAATGGACCTTGCTTTAGGAGCATTCATAGATGTGAGCAAATCAGGGAAGGAGCTCATGCCTCTGCTGGACCCTGTTACAACTGCTGCTGTGAGCTCACTGCGCAGTGCAGTAGTGTGCAGCAGTACTGTGCAGTCAGGGTCTTACAGTGTGTGTGTATGTGTGTGGTTTGTTTATGTTTTACATTACATATTTATGTCAAAGATATATAAGACTCACTGTGCTGACTTATGACTGAATCTAACTTGTGAGTATTCTCCCAGAAAGGAACTCATTTGTAAGTCAGGGACTTACTGCCTTGGAAGGAAGGTTATGGAAAGCCAGCCAGAGATTAATTCAAAATTCGTGTATTTGTCTACAAACAAAGAAAGGAACAGAATGGTGGGTTGTGGGGGACTATTGTTCAGAAGGTAAAATAAACAACACAAGCTCTTGAAGCAGTCTGAATTATGCTTAAGAAAAGACAAGCAGAATATTGTCGATGTCCGCTCCCGGCCGGCAGGAAGGACACACGACAAAGTCTGGTAGTGGACAACCTTTTCTTTTTATTTTTCTTCTCCGTACAGCCTGCCCTGGGTTCTCCCAGCTGAAGCCTCCTCTGGTCCGCTCCCCGCGGCTCCTTTTGTGCTTCAGTCTGCCCCAAAGCCTCTACCGGTCCGCTCTCCGCGGCTCCTTTTGGGCTTTTACTTCTGGGCTTCTACCTGGCTTCTTCTTCCGCCCAGGGGTGGCACCGGTATATATACGGGTACAGTGTCCAATCATGTTAAAGTAAGCAAGGCAAGCTGATTGGCTAACATCATCAGTTGCCAGGCAGACTATATTGTTGAGCGGGTTGTTTACGCGGTAAGCAGGAAACTAACATATTCGATGGGAGGGGTAATCTACCTCAGGCTTTGCTCTTTACCACAGGCCGCACGTCCGCCGCGCAAGGCGAGCTATCACAGACGCGGCTCCCAACATCTCCCCCTATTTTATTTTTTATGAATGTGCGCATCGTAGCCCTTCCTGGACTGGGTGCAGAGGCTTATGCCCTATGTGTAGGCCCACCGTAGGTCCTTGGCTTAGACCCTGGTTGGCCATGCCATGGTCTGCCAAGGCCCTGAGGCCCTCGTCCTTTTTCTAGGGCCAGGCACAAACTGGACGGAACCTGGATGCACACAAGCTTGCACTCATTTCCTCTCCGTAAAGAAATCCCCTCGGAGAGAAATTTAGACCTGGGCAGCATCTAACAGTCTAGCGGCTTACGTGCAGGATGGGGTAGGGCCTGGCTTAGGTCGAGTCGTGCTGGGGAGGCACGCTCTTACCCGTCATTGACTCACCTACCCTGCTGTGTATTGTCACCTTATGGAGGAGAATGAGGGATGCCCGCCATATCTAGACTCGGTCGTGGGCCAATTGAGCAAGCCATGCATATGCCTGAGGATCTTCTTGTCCATTTCGGGCTACCGCTATTTCTATTCATCTTATTGGTTGGTCTGTGATGGATCTCCAGTAGGGCAGGTCTGATCTTCAGTCGAGGGCTTTGTTGCCCGTGTCAGTCTCTCCGGTATCCACAGTGGTTCTCGTCCCGGTTCCTGTGGGAAAACACAAACCGCGCCTCGGTTCCAGCTGACCACTGGATCCGGGCCCATCCATTGTCCTGTCAGGACATCTTTCCACTTCACCCACCCTTTATGGTTGGGGGAAGGGTTGCAGTGCTCCACAGCTGGGGAGCGATTATCATTATTTAAATTTAAAAAATTGTGTGTGAATAGTGCCATGGATAATCGTGCCTTTGGAGGCAGGCCTTGGCTTACTCCCCCTTTTTGTTTTTTATTTTTTATTTTTTATTTTTATCTTTTTCGTTTTTTTTTTTTTTTTTTTTTTTTTTTTGTCTTTTTCCTTTTCATCGGTACCAGGGATCGAACTCACGACTGCCTGCTTGCAAGGCAGGCGCTTATGCTGCTGAGCTAAATCTCCAGCCCCCTTTTTCCTCGACCGGCGTTTTTCTCAGCCTGCTCGGCAGAGAACTCTGCGTACCAGGCTCGCCAATCCAGGTAACTGCCCGAGGGCAGACACGCCTTTGCCAGCTGAATCCAGTCCGCGGGGGTGAGGGGCCCAGAAGACAGATTCTCCAGCATGGCAATGGTGTAAGGCGCAGTCGGCCCAAAGGTTGTAACTGCATTTTTAAGTTCTCTAATCTGCTTTATCTCAAAAGGCTCCCATACATTGCGTCCCTGGCCCATAGCTACTTGTACAGGAAATATCCCGTAGGGGCCACTATCTATCCCAGGTGGATGTACCTCATGAGACAAGCGTCCCCCCTGCCAAAGCCGCCTGTAAAAATACCGACCCGCCGGCGGCGGAGCATAAGACGGCGGCCGTGATTGGGCGGAAAATGGGGGCCCGTGCATCACTTCCTGTTCTGGCGAAAGGGGAGGGAGCTCCCAGGCGGCCGCCTCGTGGCGAGGGATCGCCTCCCTCTCGCGCCGGGGAGCGCTCAGGAGCTCTCTACTCCTCCGCAGACCAGGTTGCGCAGAGCGCAATTCGCGGGGCAACGCTGGAAAAGAACCCTGTGACTCCTTATCGAGCGACTTGGGCTCCTGACAGCTGGTCTCTTTGGCCTCCTTGCCATTCAACTTTCCCTCGTCCTCGGAGTCAGACGACTCCGAGGCTAGAGCCCCGTCCTCCTCCTTAGCATCCTTGTTCCCCTTGACGGACCCCTCTCGGGAGCTCCCTGACTGGGCCTGCTCAGATACCCTGCGTACTTTTGTAAGCTCTTGAGAGCTTTCTCCACAACCACCCTCGCTCTTAGTGTTGCTACCTAACATGTTTCCCATCTTTTAATATGTTACTCACCGCGTGAGGCCCAAGGAATCCGCCACTTACGCGTGAGCCTGAGGGGAGTCTAAAAGCCCTGTAGGTGCGCGCCACCCAGAGCCCAGGCTTATCCCCAACTCACCTGTCTCGCAGCTCTGTACTGGAGCGTTGTCCACTTCCACGTCTCGGGGGTGATCAGTCCCCGGGCGGGCCTCCAAATGTCGATGTCCGCTCCCGGCCGGCAGGAAGGACACACGACAAAGTCTGGTAGTGGACAACCTTTTCTTTTTATTTTTCTTCTCCGTACAGCCTGCCCTGGGTTCTCCCAGCTGAAGCCTCCTCTGGTCCGCTCCCCGCGGCTCCTTTTGTGCTTCAGTCTGCCCCAAAGCCTCTACCGGTCCGCTCTCCGCGGCTCCTTTTGGGCTTTTACTTCTGGGCTTCTACCTGGCTTCTTCTTCCGCCCAGGGGTGGCACCGGTATATATACGGGTACAGTGTCCAATCATGTTAAAGTAAGCAAGGCAAGCTGATTGGCTAACATCATCAGTTGCCAGGCAGACTATATTGTTGAGCGGGTTGTTTACGCGGTAAGCAGGAAACTAACATATTCGATGGGAGGGGTAATCTACCTCAGGCTTTGCTCTTTACCACAGGCCGCACGTCCGCCGCGCAAGGCGAGCTATCACAGACGCGGCTCCCAACAGAATATGACCAGAGGTTGCTTATTAAACAGATTATTGACATTGGCAACAGTGAGGCAGAAAAGAGAAAGGCTCCCAGAAGAGAGAAAGGCATATGTCCATTATAATAAGAGTCACCTGTGTTTTACAGTGCTTCAGAGGGAAAACTAGGTATTGCTCAATCAAAGGGGAAAGTTCAGAGTGGATGGGTAGGTTGGTGTGCTGTCTGGATAGGAGATAGCCTGGCAATCCGTGGGACATATGGTCAGAAGACATCTCTTGTGGCACTATACCAACACACTGTTACAAGGAAGCGAATAGATTAGGATCAGGGAAAGTACAAACCATGGGAGGCCACGTGTTAGTTACACACAGCACTTGTGGTGGAGGGAGAAGAATGGAGAAAGTTAATTAAGCCTTGTGGGCCCCACTCCCTAAAGGAATGGTGAGGTTCTGAAGATGACAGGAAAGAGAGGTGAAGCAGAAGAAAAAAGCAAACACATTCAAGAAAAGGAAGAGAATTGTACTGTGTGCTGAACACTTTCAATGTCCCTTAAACTCGAGCACTCAAGCCTTGCAAATCTGCCAGTTCAGTGTTGTCCTGTTTTACAGATGGTGAAACTGAGCCTTGGGAGTTGGTCGCTTCCCTGAGGTCAGGCTGCTAGGGAGTCTAAAGTCAGTCATCAGGTCTGACTGAGCCCTGGCTCACGCTGCCCTACGGCCTCAGCCAGA